TCTATGAAGGATGGAGAAGCTGCATTGTGAATATTTACCAAGAATATTGGAGTATCAAAGTAAGATCCATTTAAAAAAAATTTCCAATTAAAAAACAAGCAAAGTTGTAAAAATATTTACCAACATAGTTGAACTTGTATTCCATTTTTTTTTAATTTGATGCCTAACACATATTCCAATGGTTTTAGTGGTTTTAGTTTTATAATTTAATTTTTAAATGACTTTCGTTCATTTTTGTTCATTGCACAAATATCAATACCTATTCTCGTTAACATTTTTTGCTAAAAAAATTTCTTCTATTAAACAACATTTCCCTATAATCGATATGTAAAGGAAGCTACCAGGTTCTTAAATAAAAATGCATGAATTAATTGATTATTACTTAAATGCATTGAAAAATTACTCGGCTAAGTAATGGGAAAAGCTTACGGCTAAGTTTTAAAGCCTTTAACAACTCATTTTTAATCTTCGAAATTACAAAATGATCATAATATCGAAATATAATATGCAAAAATTCACGACATATATCAGCCAAAAATTCAATTAATTAAAATAATTTAAAAAATACATTTTTGTTGTTGTTTCACTTCTGTTCGAAAACCTCTTTACGACAATTTAATGTAATATGTCTTATTATGTTTCTATAAATGAGTTGAAGCTTATCCCAAAAAGAGCATTTTGGATACTAAAGTCTTATTTTGAACGCTACACGAATATGATGGATATCCTTTTAGAATACAAAAAGTTAGAGATAATTAAACGATTAAAATTGATATGAATAATTTAATTTTTAAAATATAATTTAATTACAAGTTACTTTTTTTATTTTTATAATTAGTTTTATTATGTAAACGTAATAAAAATTATTGAGATTTTAGTTTAATTGTTCAGTTTCCCTCACAATGTCATTGTTTTTTTATCAATTAAAGCCGAAAGCGCATATTTTTTGCGCCATAATTGGTTTGTTTGACATCAAACTGCACTTCATCAATTGAAGTCAATTAAAATGACCCCAAAACCAGAAATAAGTGGATATTTTAGAGATAACTTAAGAATCTCATGTATGCTACATTAAGCAAAATGCGCCGAAAAGCAATAAAAATGAAATAGAACAAAACATTTTAGATCGTCGTGTATAATTATTTAGTTGCTCAGTTGCTTGAAGCGAAGACTACCCGCCCTCATACCAGTCTTCTGTACTACTTGAATCGCTATCGAAATGGAAAACGTAGGTGAAATGAAAATGAATAGAGTGGGTCACTGTTATTATGCTTTACCTAGTAAATTCTTGCCACTCGAATTTTAACTTTTTAAGAAAGACACAAAGTAACGATGAAAAGATAAGAGCAACACATAAAGTAAGACGTCGAATGTAAAAGTAAAAGCGATTATTTTTGCTTTAGATTCAATTATATTTTATGTTCTTTTACGAATACCTTGTCAAGATATTTTGTATACGTTTTCGCTTAAGCTTTCACGGATACATCTTTGCAAATAACCAATTAATTATTAATACTAAAAATGGATGTAAATTTATTTTATTCTAAAGTAAAATATATAGAAAAAGTTCTTGCCAAATGCAAAGTTTGAAATTTTTGAAATGTCGCCATAATCCAAAATATAATCTAAACATGAAGCTTGGATTGTGCAGTTTCCTGTTCTACCTATTCTTCTACCTATCAAAAAAATTGTACATGTTCAAAAAAATACTCTATACAATAACAACAACATTTGCATTTATGCAAAGCACATCCTTTTTGACCCACGCATATTCGTTGGGTTCGAAAAAGTTTTTATTGAATTTTTGGCTGACACTTGTTGACGTCAAAATAAGAAAAGTTGAAAAGGCGCTGAGCTGCAGTACAGTACAAAATTTGTTTAGATATTTAATATTTACAGAGCCATTAGTGTATTTATATCGCATTTGTATATTTGCTTCGAAATAAATTTACATACATAAGATATTCTCAAAACCTGAAATTTTCATTTTAAAATTATGTTTTTACTGCCACTTAAAATAAACAAAACATTTGAAAATAAAAAATTATAATCCGTTGACCATAAAAAATGAAATTCTACGCCTCCGCATAACTTAAAACCACATACAAGTGCCGCACTCTTTCCGCTGAAGGAATTTATTAGTATAAGTTTTACAATACAAAAAAAAAACAGACAAAAAAAATTGATCTATCTGTCTATATTTGAAATAAAAGTATTCCAAGAAACCAAAAATTTTGAGGAAATCAATTAATTTTGGAAAGCACAGTAATATTTTTTGCCGATTAATTGTGAATAAAGTTGAAACTTGATACAAAATGTTTAATAAAATCGTAATATCAACCTGTAGATTTATTATTTAAGTAATAGGTTATTGAAGCACCCCGACCTAAAAGATCTATTGTGCGCCTAAAGGCCCAACTAGCACAATTTTAGACTATTTATAAATCTTGTAATTGCTGTGGGCTTAATTTTACCTATTTGACTTGGGACTAATATCCCGCTTCCAAGGTAATCGAGTCTACGTCTTGCAACCGCTGGGCAGTCGCATAGAACATGTTCTGATGTTTCCTTCTCCTCATGACAGAGTCGACAGGAGTCACTTTCTACCACACCTATAATCTTCATGTGGTAATTAAGTCTACAGTGTCCTGTAAGAAGTTCAGTGTAGATTTTAATATCGTTTCTGCTAAGACCAAGGATAGCATCAACTTTGATGTGATCAGAATCAATGAATCTTTTTAACTGTCGCATGCCTTTTTGGGCTCTTCAGTGTTCAAGTAGATGTTGTTTCTCCCGTTCACATAATAAGCTATTTGTGAAGCTATTTGTTACCCCTCAGAAGGGTTCTGGACTCTGGCAATGAAAGGAGTATATGCACTTCTGCATTATTACTTCTACCTTAAAAAATATTTAAATTGTAATATAAACTAATGCTACTTATTTCCTTTTGCCATTCTTTACTTCCTGTAAAGCATAAGTCTCCTAGATTTAAGATCTTTAAAGAGTCCAAACATCACCCTTAATAATAAAATTGAAATGTAAATTATTTCAAACTTTTGTAATTAAAAACTTGAAACAAGTTGTTGTTTTTCAGTTATTTTTTATAACAACTTGTAATACTTTATTTGCACATCTAGAAAGCTGGTAGCATTCTTAAGTTATGTGA